ATGGCCCTCGACGAGAGGAGCAACTTTAATTCTTGATTCGTGTGGATTTGACCTCTAGAGTCTTGTAGATCGTAGAGAGAAGGCAGAGTTCTTTCTCTCTTTTTCCTCTCTTCTCTATCGACTAACCGGCTGAACAAAAAATGGAGCAAGAAATCAGATTTTCCCCATTTTTATAGTCTTAGAATACTTGGCCCATATTATGCCACACGACCCTCTTTATCCCAAGTCTATTTTTGTCCCGAAACGATTAAATTTCGTCTCGGTTCAAGTTCAAATATTTTTATTTTAATTTGACTTAAATTACTTCCCATCTTTTAAAATTTTATTGAAAATTCTATTATTGGGTCATCCAAGACTCGACTGTCTCGTAAAACGTAAAAAATTTGACTATTTTAAAATTCAATGAATTTGACAGGGGTAACTAGATTTTGCGAGACTAATATGACAGTGAGGTTCGTTTCGTTATCCAAGATCTAGAAAAATTTATGTTTACAACCCGTATCGTAGTGACAAATTACCATTTTGCCCTTGTTATAAAAAGTTTAAATTTACCTGAATTTTACATATGATCCCACCGGTGAGGGCTTATCGGGGTGGTTGTTGGACGCTCTTCTTTACCCCCACCCCTTTTTGAACTAGCAAAAAAAAAACTTAGGCAACATGGGCTTCAGGGATTTATTAATATTTGGCAAAAACTACAACAATTGTATGAAAAATAATCTTTTGAGGTTGCACTTCAACTCGAGTGCTTGCAAGTGCATGTTTGCATTGGACAATTAGTTATGCATTATCGAGAGAGAGAGAGAGAGAAAAAAAAAAGAAAAAGAGAGAGCCATGGAGGTTAATGCTTATTAAATACGAGTACATAATTAGGGGCTATATGGTTAAACAATTTAGCTAGACATTCTTTGCTTGGTGCAGGTAAATGGTTTGGCGCCAAGGACTGTGTTTATCAAATTCGTGCGCTAAGGCTTGTCGTTTTATAAACCCCCATAAGTTTATATTAATATAATGATATAATTGTTTAGTAATTCTAATATATGTAATGATGTAAGAATGAACCACATAGATTATAACAATAGAAATAAATATTTGGTAGACAAATTGATTGTTAAATTTAAGTTTCGAAGGTGTTTAAGCTTGGAAGGGGTTGTTATGTAAGTTCAAAAGATTTTTAGGTCAAAATAAGATTTTCATTGAATCCGTAAGATCGAGAAACATTGAGAGAGGTGATATAGGGTGTAATAAAGTTAGGAAGTAGCACATTGTAGATAGAATTTGGGTAGAAAGAATTTTGACATTGCCTTAGTATTTCGACTATAACTTTTTATCCTAATGTCTATTTGAGCTGAAATTTTTATAGTAGATAATAGACTTTCAGGACTACAAAAGTGTATTTCACAAAAATTGTCCAAATTGACCTTTAAATGAGCCAAAACATCACTCGAAGTTTCAACAAAAACAGGGAGTCCGTTCGAACGATAATTCATTCGAGTACTCTTGTCTGATGTAAAAACAAAAAGTACTGAGAGCAAGTGATGTTCGAACGCCAAATGACGTTCGAATGTGAGCAGCGAATCAGAACATCTGATTTACATTGATTGCACTCTTTTCTCACCCTATAAATACGTAAGGCCACCTCCATTAGCCCTATTTCAACATTTCTAACCCTAGAAAGTCTTAGAGAGGAAGAAAGAAGGAGAAAAACACAAGATCAAATAGGATTTTCACATTAAAGTGGATCAAAATCTCAAGTTCTTCACACAAAATTAAGGAAGAAGGTAGGGGATTCTTCTCAAGTCCTTTCATTGAGACTTAGGGTATAATTATGTATGTTTTCAATATTCTTAATAATTATATGATATATATATATATATGAGTTCTTGATTTCTTTATCATTGGAACATAGGTTCAAGGAGTATTTGTTCTTGAATTTCCAAAACCTTAACTTTTCCAAAATACATGTTCTGTGGTGAAATTCATAGTGATTATAGATTTCTAAATTCTTATGCTTGATTAAATCATGCTTTTATCTAAATGTTTGTTCTTGTTCCAAGAAATTGGAATTTTTGGCAAAACCCTAGAATTTTGAATATCCAAATTATGAAGGTCTCTTGAGATGATCTCTTGCATAATTTAAGTCCCTATTACCGTAGTATATTGAGAATTGGAAAATTGTGATACTTGAATTGATAATAGAAATTGTGATTGGTTAATATTGTAGTTGTTGAGAATATTTTGGTTTCATCTCTTGTATGGTTTGTTGTGACGGACTTGAATTGCCTTCGAGAGCAGCTGTAGAGTCTATCCCAGTGGGGGTGAGATGGTTTTCTAACACTTGTAGTGGATTGTTGTTTGTGAGAGAAACCACTATTGTTCACGTAAGTTCAAGGATGAGGGATGGTATACCTTTCCTAGAAAGGATTCTTCAATGCCGTGGAAGACGGTATACCCTTCCTAAAATGTTTGTGATTGTATGGTTATGATGGGTGAACGAGGTAGAATTGTTGTGTAGATTCCTGAGAAGTAACCAACATATATGACAATGAGGATGAACCAACATATATGAGAATATGGAATGATATTACTGAGTTATTTATTAATCATTTTAATCTCTTACAAGTTTATTCCTGTCATTGATTTACTGTATTTCGTACACTTAAGATCATTACAACTATCATGATTTTATTCTCAAAATCTATATATGCTATTTTTTGAAAAAGATTTGCCATTTTTTATTGTTTTTTTTAAACTTTGTTGAGATTTGAGAGGATTTTTCTACAGAGCTTAGTGCTCAACCCCTACAAACAACACTCTTTTCAGATTTTCATTTAGAGAAGGAGCTCAAACTTGACGAGCAGGTAGCTTGGGAAGCTCCACTTGATGGGCATGTGGACCCGAAGGGGAATGTCTTAAACTATTCTTTTTATGTCCTAGACTAGAAGGTTTATTTTGAGATAATGTTTATGTTAATGTTTTCTTATTCCGTAGCAAGATAATAGTTAATTTTTGGGATGTAAGTGTCGTAGTTGGGCTTATTCTTTTGGATATAATTGTCATGGCTTGATATATTCTTTTGGATGAAGTTGTAGATATTATGTATGATGAATGAAATTTTTTTTACTTATGAATTTTAGTAGTTGCTCTCATGATGTGAATAGTTTAAGATAATAATGTCATCCAAGATGAATTTTGGGGCATTACACGTTTTGCTTTAGGCCACCTAGCAATTGTGTCTTTAGATGGCTTTGTAAAACTGGGAAAAAAAACAAACAAAAAAAAAGCACACAAATAAGTAGCCAATTGTACGTTAGATTACTAGTGAATAGAGGTGCTTATAGTAGCAATTGAAAGAATGTCAATTGTTTTCAAAAAAAGAATGTCAATTACCTACTGAAAAAAAATGGGTTGCAGTAGGATTAGGTTTTTGAGATTTCTTTAGGGAATGTGTTAAGGGTTTGGACTTTGTTGGCCATAAAATGTAAAGTTTTTTTAGGTCATTTATCGACGATTTAATATTATTGGTGGGATATTAATTTGAGAAGGGTTTGCAGTGTTAACTTTTGGATTCTTAAAGGGCTTAATTTTAACATAAGTTCCCGTTAGAGATTTATTTTTATCTTCTTTTATGTCCTTAATTTACAGCAAAATTGCCTTTAAATTTAATTCCATGACTAATTTTGGAAATTAAATAAAATTAATTTCTAAAAATTACTTATACAATTCTCTCTCTCTCTCTCTCTCTTACATCAACACAATTAAGATATTGATAAATTTAATTGACATACATTTCTCTTTTTTTAAAATACCCATCATTTTGATTTTTATTGTGCCATGCAGAATTCAATTTGTGTGTTTAACTCTCATGCAGTGATACTTCATGACTTCTTGATTGTTGCATAGTTGAAGTTCAAAATGTTAATTTGGTTATAAGCAGTAAAAGTATTGTTAGTTCATCAATTTGTTTGTGGATAAGATTAAATTAATACCCAAAAACAAAAAATTCTTAAACAAGTTCTAAATTTGAAGCACACTTATAGTTTAATTCAAAATAAATAATAATAACAAAAACCATAATTAAAAAAAAAATCATCAACTAGTAAAAAAAAAAAAGTTATTCTCTATGCAACAACAACAAAAAAAATGATTAGAACTTATTAGGTCTTCAAAAATCATGTTTGATTTGGTGGCTGATTTCCCAAGATAGAATTCATCGACGGCAGATTGGAGAATACAAAAAACGTTGGTTGGCAAAATCTTCCATGAATTACATTAATTAATCCTTTCAAAATTCAAACGGTTAATTAATTCCTTAATTTATGAGTCCTCTTATCTAATAAAACAGAATAAAAAAATTGTCAAAATATTGCTTGAATTACGTTAAGGGTAATTACGTAATACAAAAATATATAAAATTAAAATGTGTACCCGATCACCAAATATTTAGGAGTACGAGGACTTAATAACGAAAAAATATGTGTTGTGAATTTTAAGATAAATAAATTCTAGAAAGTGTACCCTTTGGAAATTTTTCCGTTTTTATTTTAAAAAAATCAATCCGTATATTCGATAATAAAATGTTGTGAGAATTTTTTATTGGGTGTAAACAACACATGTCATTGTTACCTGGTGCCTTATAAGTAGAGGTGATAATTTTAATTTATTATCCATTTACTCATCCAAATTGCTCATAAATAATGAGATGTGTATTTACGCTGTGTTTGATTTGTAGTATTAGACCAAGGGAATGAAATGAATATTACTTAGTAATGTGTTTGGTCTGTAGTAATTCCAAAGGAATAACTAATCCACCAAAATCTGGGATTACTCGTTACCAATTAAAACATGGTATTTCCAATTCTCAATCACTCGGTAATGAAGCCAAATTTATAACCACTAAACCCGACTCCTCCCGATCCCAGTCTCGTCGACTTGCACCTCCCTCCCCAAATCTCTCTTCTCTTCTCCACTCCTCTGCCCACCTCTCAACTCTTCTCTACCGAACCCATGCCATTCGACCCCTTCTTTCATCCGGCAGCACCGGCGGCAGCCGAGGGTGTTTTCGCGATGGCAAATCAGTCGTCTTACGCCGCCGAGGCCCACTGAACGACTCAATAGAATCGGTCAAACTGCTAAGAGTGGTCCTCTGGGCGATAATCTGGTGCTCCTGAGGATACAACCGCTGATTGACAAAGCGATCGTTAGGGTTCTGATGAAATGGATAGTAGGGATTTGAAGGAGTGGTTGATGGAAAGTTGATCTTGGCCTTGGGTCCCCGAAGCGAAAGAGCAGCGGCGTCGTAGGCTCGAGCTGCATCTTCAACTGAATCGAAAGTCCCCAGCCAAACCCTATATTTTTGCCTTGGGTCTCTAATCTCTGCAGCGAATCTTCCCCAAGGTCTCTTTCTCACTCCTCGGAAACTTATCTCTGGTGGCATTGCTATGTGTTCCTGTTGTCTTGATCAATGGGTAATTGTTGTGCGTATACAGTTGCATTAGCTTTTTGAGCTTATACAGTTGACTTTGTTTGGAAATCTATTGGGTAACAAAGCTAAATTAGTGGACTCGGTAATGTCAGAAACCTGTTCGATGATAGTCCCAAGTGAAAAAAGTTGAGTATTTAGCTAAATTAGTGGACTAATACGATGTTACTACAATTCTTAAGATGTTAGAAGTTGAGTATCTTCACTCCATAATAAAATTGTGGGAAGTTCCAATGTGTCATGTTGACAGTATCGAATGGTTATAAATAGAATAGGCTTTCTTCTTGTCATGATTTATTTCATTAGAGAACCCCTATCTTAACTGATATTTTGTTTGGTAGGTTTTTTTTTTNCAGTATCGAATGGTTATAAATAGAATAGGCTTTCTTCTTGTCATGATTTATTTCATTGGAGAACCCCTATCTTAACTTATATTTTGTTTGGTAGGTTTTTTTTTCGGTCCCATGCTGTAATGCACTATGAGTAATTTGGGGTTTGTATGAACTTATAGCTTGGGATGGATGTTTATTCTCAGTTTTCGGTCTGTTTGGTTGCTGAGAAACGAGGGGACAGGAAAAAAATAATATTTTGGACTGAATACAGATATTTGGTCAATTGAAGATGTATTTTCAATTCAGGTATTTGATAATGCATTTTCAATAACAAAGTGCTTTACTGTATGACTGCCAGGATGAATCCAATTCCCCTCAACAATTGTCTCAACAAAGCTAATTCTTTGTTTACTCATCTTTGGATGTGTCTACACAGTAATTAAATTATGTCCATATGGTCCATACACTTCAAACATCTTCCACGAGCTCCGATGTCGTAGAGACATGCTGTCGGAGAGTTTCTCTTTTCCACGCGGAGAAGTGTTGCCACTTTGCTGTTGAATGTATCAGTAAATAGGAGTTTGAGGCAGGGTCATTGTGGTGGACTTCGAGTGGCAAGTTCCGGTGCTTATATTGATGTTGTGGACATTTTTCTTTTTCTAGGCATACAAAATAGAAAACTCTTTTTAAGTGTTATCAGCAGCTGAATGGAGCATTTTGTGTCATGTTTGCTATCAATGGGAGAGTGATGATGACACGTTTGCAATATCCTCTGCTCAAGTCTGTACATCGTGCATTGTTTTCTAATACAATACCCTTGTTGTATACAATATTGGCAACAGTTTGATTGGGGTTATACTGACAGAGGGCGGGCATGTGCATACTATATCAATTGGGTAGTTCTTGTTATTTCTTCAAGCTAATAACTCAGTTATTAATGCTACCTTTGATAGCATGCAATTTAAGCTTTCCCATAGGAATTGGATAAAACCAGTTCCAGGGCCTCTCTTCAATGCTGCCAAACCCAGCATGGAATAATTTGATTGATGTGCACTGGTTGTAATAACTTTTAATGCTTTGATATTTAGTAGGAAAGATTTTAGGATCTATAACCTGGGTACAGAATTTGTGACTACAGTGCTGGGAGTGTTTTATGAGGCTGCTGTGCTGATGTGTGTCTATGTTGCTGAATTGCTTTGTTGTGCTGTGACTGATTTTAAGGGGGAGAAGAAGCTGCTGCCATGGGTGAAATGAAGGTGCTTTTGGAGCATTTTGAAGGATTAAAGCCTTTTAGCCGTATTGAATGTGTTTAGAATTCTTGTAATTTTTTGATTCTTGTTATTTCTTGATTCAATCAATAAAAGTTTCCTTGTCTTACAAAAAAAAAAGAATAGTTTTTGTTTTTGATATCTTTTTTGTGATCCTATTTTTGAGGGATTTTGTTTTCTAATTTTTTAAAATTTATAGGGGTTTAATTTTTTTTTCAATGGATTATCATTTTTTCTAATTATATATATTTTTTACACAACTTTTAAAGGCAATCGCAATCATAAAAAAATTTGCTAGTAATTATTTTTAGTTAATATGAATATTTTGGTTAAAAATGGAATGAGTATTCCATTCCAACACTTAATCCTAAATAGCTACCAAATAATGGAATGGTAATGCGCATTTCATTCAATTCTCAAGTTCATTCTATTCCTACTGAAAAGTATTATCGCATATCAAACGCAGCGTTATATTGATTAATGTAGGTTGTAAATGAGTTGAGTAATAAGATTTATTTTAATTAAGCGGGTTAAGTGGATTACAAATAAGTACCTATTGTGTTGATTATTTATCTTTCTATTAAATAACACAAGTAATATAATCAAATAAATAAACTTATATACAAAAATACATACACACTAAAACATCAAAAAATATACACACATACACACTACCACACCCAAAGTGCGCGCACACACACACACTAATACACCCGACATCTACCCATGACCCACAACCCCGACATGTGACCCATGACCTGACTCATGACACAAGTAATAAAATAAATGTGTTTGTGCTTTGCATGTGTTAGTATGTGTGTATATTTTTGGTGTATTAGTGTGCGTATATTTTTGGTATATTAGTATATATTTTAGCGTATTAGTGTGTGTATTTTTTATGTATTAATATGTATTTATATTAGGAGTTTTAATTATTTTATAGGTTAATAGGTTTAACCCAACTCTTTATGATTCAACCTATTATAACTCATTTATTAAACGGATTGAAAATGAATTTGATTTATTTTCCACCCAACTCATCTTAAATTAATTCATAACTAATCCAACTTATCCATTTGTCGCCTCTTATATAAGCACCGAAAATTTTGTCAGCCATGAACCTTGAGCAGGCTCATTCATTGGGGCCCATTGAAATTCATATGTGAGAAATACAGTAATCAACGACCACCAAGAGCCCAGAGTAAGCCCTTCCATCCATTAAGTGGGCAGCCCAAATTCAGTACTCTCTATCTGTGTCTCCCTCTACCTGCGCGCGCGCTTACCACTTCTCGACGACAGCAGATCTGTTGTTCTAGACAGCAGATCTAAAATACTCCCTCTGTTTCTCTCACTTTAACGTTCTGTTCAAATAAATTTAACCACTGGCGTTCTATCCAATTACGAATCGAACCTGGATGTATATGTACACGCGTGCATATAGAGAGCAAGAGAGTGTGTAAAGAGAGAGAGAGAAAGAGGTTGATAGATGGCTTTCATGGCGGTGTTGGAATCAGATCTACGCGCTCTCTCCACCGAAGCTCGACGGAGATACCCTGCTGTCAAAGACGGAGCGGAACACGCAATATTGAAGGTCAGTGAAGTTAAATTATTTAAAGTTTTTTTTTCTTTTTTTGGTTTTGGCTATTAAGAATTTTAACGTTGAAAACTCTAAAATCTTTGGTTAATCAATTTGTTGGATTTTAAGTTATGATTCAGATAGATGAATTAGATGCGATACTTGGTTGATGAGATAATGTAAGTAGTAATTAGGAGGAAAATTTTATATTTGCGTTGTGGTAGTTAAATTTAGTTCAACTTCGCTGTTTAATTTGGAAAAAAAAGAGTCATGGAACTGTTTGTTTGCTGATACAATGTATCAATAGGACAGAAAAAAACCTATTATTCTATTCTCATTTCTGCCTGAAATTAACAACTATTCAATTTTGTTTTAATATCATGGCAAGCAAATATTACTGAACTCGTGGGTTTGTTTCAGACTGTGCTCAATTTCTAGTGTCAAAATTTATGCATCTAAGCTCAAGCCATATAGGTGTTTTGATGTTTATTTTGCAGCTTCGTTCGTTGTCAAGTCCTAGTGAAATTGCACATCATGAGGATATAGTACGGATCTTTCTGATGGCTTGTGAGGTTAAGACTGTGAAATTGAGTGTAATTGGATTATCGTGTTTGCAAAAGCTCATTTCTCATGATGCCGTTGCTCCGTCAGCTTTAAAGGAGATACTTGCTACGCTGAAAGATGTAAGTTCAACAAAATTTGTTTTGTACAATATGACGATTGCTAGATCAAAAAGGATATAATATTAATATATGCCCTGACTTCATAGAAAATGAAGTTTTTGTGTAGGGATGTGTAAACAGTTATACAGTATTTCAGAGTATCCTATCAAGCCCCATTATTTATTTCTTATAAAAGAAAAGGTATTCTTAATTATTTTTTTAATTGTGATGGTGCCTATGTGACGTGGTGTTGATTGTCATTGGCCACTCATTTTCCTGGCAAGGACATGAAGATGTCACTAGGATTTTACATAATGATCTCAGTTGAAAGTGGAATCTTGGAGGGTTTACTCACTAAGATCTGTGTTGTAAAAGTCATGCCTAGGCTTAAGGTGACTTCAACACCCTCTTCCCCTCAATTGGCCTTAGGCGAAGTGACTTCACTAAGGCGCATTTGAGGCATGTCTTAAGGATTAAGTTCAAGGCACTGAGGCACCCATTTTTTTTGTGATACTGTGTCGATATTCTTTGGCAATGCATAATTACCTTAATCCTAACTTTTTGTTGCAACTATGTGCGAGATTTTCCCAGTGGGCTTAGGTTAGTCTATCATGTTCTTTCTTCACTGACTATCTCTCTTTCTTGTTTGTCTATCACAGGTTGCCTGGTATGTCTGAACGTCTTTTTTTGTTGTTGCGTATCATTGTCACTCTTATTTTTAAACGATTGATGAATTGTAGTGCCAAACCCGATATTTTGTGACACTTCCAAGGCCAGCATTTTTTTTAATCTTTCCTTTGGCCCTTTTTGTCCCTTTTTTCTACTTTTTGATTCCATTTTTGAGGTGGGGAGTTTTTATAGTTTCTTTTATTTTTCCCCAAGCCATTTTAGTTTCTGATTATCTGATTGTAAGTAATGGTTTATTTTTTGGTTTCTATGCATTATAACTTCATTGCAAACTTGATTTTGATTGCTTGTACTATTTGTAGTATTTCATGTTTGTATTATAGTCACAACTAAGTTTTGGATGATTAGTTGTGACTTGTACTTTTTATCCTTTGTTTGAAAAATTTGTCAATGCTAAATATCTGGTTGTTATTTCCAATGTTCGCTTCGTTTCATAAAGCCCTCGCTTCACATTTTGTGATTTGACATGCCCCAAGAGACCCCTAACACCTTGCCCCTTAAATAACATTGACTAACAGATTCTGTGATGTTATTGTCTTCTGGATTTTTTGTGAGTTATAGAGATGTTAAAAGATGTTTTTAAACAGAGAGAACATTACGGAGTTGCATGTTTTTGAATTATTATTGTTATTCCATCAATCAAGAGTAGTTCTAGTATAACAATGGAAAGCAACAATATCCTACTATAGAATTTTACTACTTTCCAGTAGTTTGCCATAATTCTTGAAATTTTTACCGTTGATCAAGTGACAAAATTCTATCTCATTTTAGGATGAGCTAGTATTACCATGATTAATTATAGAACTAATCATAAACTGGACGCTTTGACTGTTAAGATTCAATTGTGTTTTCACACTCCAAATCAACGAAATGGAACTGTGAAATGCATGGAAAGAATAGTATAAATCAGTTAGTAGAGAAAAAAGACTTTGTTTAAGAAGAAAAAAAGACTTTGTTTAAGAAGAAAAAAATATGATGCCGAAGGTTTATGCTAAACATCCTATTATGATACTCAAACCTTTGTTATGCGATTTTTACTTAGACACTCTAAAGCCACTCAATTTTAAAAGTTACTTAGTTGACTAACATTATGAATGTGGTTAAAATTGATGGTGGGGTGACAATCCTCATCAAAATTATGCGTTCTTGAGTTAGAAATAGTTCTAGATGCGGAGGATATCTTGTCTGATCGTATGTTATCTTAGATTATGCATTAGTCTTCGTCCCTTTCACTCTTTTCCTTGAACTTCTGGACTAGAGCCGCTGAGATAGCTCTTCTTGCTTTGCTAGCGAAGTAGCTAAGTGAGTAAAGCGGCTATTTCAATTCCGAGGAAAGAGAGGTCTTCAATCTTACCCGTGGGATGGTATTTTTACTTATTTACTCTCTCTATTCTACTTGAGTTAGGAAGTTCTCATAGCTTATATTTTGTTAATAACTAAATTGCTCTTTTTTATTAATTCAAAAGACTGGGTTTTGATTAAACTAGCTCACTCATGCCAATTTTTGTGAGAGGTTACATAAACATTGTTAATCTTTTTGTACTCGACTAGGTGCTTGCTAGCTCAATCCATTGCTTGTTACTTTCTTCGTTTAGCTACCAATAGGAGATTAAACACTAAGGTTTTTACTCAACTTGTAGATAGTTAAGGAATGTAGCTTTCATCATGCGAGAAAATGGATGCGCTAACTGTTGCTTTCTTTGCTCCTTGGATTAGCTACTGGGCAGGCAGGGATTCTTTCTCTTCATCCTTGCTTGCCTGTAGCTCTAGTTGCCTTGTCTTAGCTAGCCCTTTTGCACTAGCAATGGAGCTGCTGCATATTTGGGATAACACCCCATGACCGCAATAGAACTCCAACCATACGTTTGTACATGGCAGTTNTTGCTTGCCTGTAGCTCTAGTTGCCTTGTCTTAGCTAGCCCTTTTGCACTAGCAATGCAGCTGCTGCATATTTGGGATAACACCCCATGACCGCAATAGAACTCCAACCATACGTTTGTACATGGCAGTTAAAAAAAAAAAAGCATAAACCTGACTTTCCTTTCGTAGATGGACTCAACGAAAGTTAGAAAGTGAGCATGTATAGAGTCCTGGCTTGCACAATCTCATCAAACTTAAATGCTCCTATCTCCTTTTTAGTTCTGGTCAACTGTGCTAACAAGATATTGAAAACTTAAAAAAAAGTAGTACGCTAAGGTATCAAAATAGAGTTTCCAAAGACAAGCCGAATCAGAGAATGTTACTCCTAAAGAGTCCCTCCGAGTAGTGTATCGAAGCACAACGAGAATGGCTCTAACTATGCATCTGGTGAGAGATCTGTTGTGCAGCTAGAAAAGCGAGATGAGGCTAGTGACGTGTGGCGAACTATGGAAAATTTTCGCCATCAATACTGAGACTCACTTGGGACTTTGCATTTTTTTTTTTCGAGTGTTTTTTAGAGTCATATGATATGATAATTTGGTTTAGGAGTTCAAGGCATAGATACTCGTAAATACTCCAAGATTCTCACAACACGAGTTGCACGACCCAATCTAGGTTCGGTTTGTGATTTTGATCACTAAAATTCCCAACCTCAAATTGTAACTCACCTCCCAAATAACCCGCATTCCAAGTAAACTTGAATTTTAATCCTAATCATAGTTTGCAACCCTATCTNCTCACCTCCCAAATAACCCGCATTCCAAGTAAACTTGAATTTTAATCCTAATCATAGTTTGCAACCCTATCTAGTTATTTCATTATTTCTGTAAACTTCAATCTTATATTTTAATTTGTTGTGATTTGAATTTTTTTCGTAATATAACTATGCAACCACTATTTTTATTTTGTATAACCATTAGGTGATACTTGATACGTTGCCTTGCATAATTGCATTATGTTTTGTTTTGGAACTTTATCAATAATATAGAACAAATACTAGTTAAAGGTGTATATACAATTATATAATTATGTATAATTTGTGTAATAATGAAAGCAATCCGTGTAAGAGTTACAAAGGGAACTCCCACCCAAAACAACGTATTTACTAAGTTTATCCCCATTGCACTGCGTATCGAAAAAAGTAGCGACCCATGGGTCTTATTACGAATCTTGTTTTGTTTTTGGGTCATTTTAGTTGGTTTAATTGTATTAAACTACACAAGTTTTTTAGTTTCCAATTCGAGTATGAGATTTATTTGAAAGACTTCTTGTCCATCGTGTAATCTTTTTTCGTTATTAATAAAAAGTAATTTGTTTCTATATGAGCTTATAACTATACCCTTATTCTTTTCTACCGGGTAGATATCAGTGTGAGAGAAATTGCCATAGCTTTAGAAGCTTATTTGTGTTTGTGTGATGCAAACCTAACCCGAGGTATGGTCCCTAAGGGTTTCTAGGAGTGATTCCTAGAATTTCGTATTCTTCTTCTTCCCTCTTTCTTTCTTTGATTTTCTTTAATTTATACCTACAAAAAATCTTAATTAGCTTTTGTTATTTGTTCGCAAAACCTTATCGATCGAGGATAGGCCATTTTTCTTTGATAATTAAATTACAGAGCATCAAAAGAACCGTAAACAACCAGAGGGAATGTCCCCAGTACCTTGAACAGCCTCAATATTTACTAGTTCTTGGATAATTGAAGCCTTGAACCTTAACCACTCTCCTACCCCTTCTTGCCATATAGTTTGATATCTTCCTAATTTTTTTCATCTATAAAGTTGGCAATAATTGACCCAAAATAGGCCTTTACTTCCACCGCCCAACATCAAATATGGAGCCACAAAGTAGGAAAGTGATCCCCACCCTCATCATGTATCAGGGGCCTTATGCTACCAATCATACATGCAGAGCTGAGAATCATTGTCAACTATATGTTCTTGATGCATTGTTCAATTGTTATCTATTATACTTCTCGCTACATTTTGTCAATCACATAATTTAATAAAGCACAATTGCCTTTGCATGTTTTACCTATTTTCATTGGGGTGTTCGGAATGAGAATGCTTTTCGTTTTGATGTTTTCTTTGTGGTGAATTATCCAATTTTGCATAGAAATCTTACCTTGTCTTGTTTTTGGTTAGCATGGTGAAATGGCAGATGAGAGTGTTCAACTCAAGACCCTACAAACGATATTGATAATGCTACAGTCTCGTTTACAACCCGATAATGAGGTGATCAATGGTTACATAACTACTTCATTGTTTGAACTTGTTATGTTGTGTTAATATTAGCCAAAGTGTGCAGATTATTTTTCTTATTTTTTGAAATAACTTTTTTATGGCTGAAATATGAGGGACTAGCCTATGCTATGATAATTAAATATGTGAATACTTCCACCTGAAGTTGTTGGACATGCGTGGAATCAGTTGAAGTTTCGGAATTCTGTTTCTTCCACATGTTCGGGGTGATGCAATCCTTTTGGTTTTTGTCTTACAAGATATATTAGGAGTTAATCTCAATGTTGGGTCCTTGGATAAAGAAGGTGAGAGTGGGGAGGAGGAATTGATGGGACTAGATCCAGTAAATTGTTTTCCTCTAGCAATGATTGCTCCTGAAGTTGGGGGCTGCTGGTTATACAGGTAAGTTATCTCATTTGGACATGGCCAATAGTTGGGAGATCAGTTTCAATGTGGTGGTGTCATGCCCCAATAATGTAGACTTTATGAAGCTACTTGAGGATATTGAATACAATTGAAGTTTGACGGAGTTGGGATTTAAGAAAGAGGGTGAAGGGTTTAGTCCTAAAGCAAGAAAGAGATGTTAAGAAGTTGATGTGTTTGCTGCAATAGTGCTGCAAAGAGAGTTCTGAAGTGGGGATGAAATAGGGAGAGGCCTACTGATGTAGGATGGGATGGATTAGAAATCAGAGAATAGAAAGAGAAGAAGAAAGAAGAGGGGTGGAAGCACACAAATTTCGTNCTGAAGTGGGGATGAAATAGGGAGAGGCCTACTGATGTAGGATGGGATGGATTAGAAATCAGAGAATAGAAAGAGAAGAAGAAAGAAGAGGGTTGGAAGCACACAAATTTCGTAGAGAATACTCAATCCTTATTTATATTCTCTCTAATAAAAATAGTGGGATTAGATCAATATTTATAGGACAAGTCTTCTACTAAAATAAAAACTACTCTTCTATTAAAATACCAAAAGAGTTTCATAATCAAACTCTTAAATTACTATCCTATTAAAATTCTATAATAATTTCCTAATCAAACTCTAACTAAAACTACTGGTCAAACAAATATTCCCTAACTAATATAATAATAGTAAAACAAATAATAAAATTTAATTCTTCAATTTAAACTCATCTAGTCTGTTTTCGATCTCTATCAATTCGTCCCGCCGAAAAAAACTCTACTTCGAAGCATTGCTGTAGCAAGAATATTCTAGGAGAATTGACATTAGATACTGAAACACATCTTTAAACCTAATAGCATAGAAGTGAGATCTCCATTCAATGACATAATATTAGATATCACAATAGGAGGAATCTATATCTCGAATCTTCATAATCTTTACACTTTGTTCGAGATAAAAGGATGGTGATGTTGATGAAAAAGTAGCAACCCCATAAAAAAAAATCACATTTGAAAGTTCATCTGTAGGAACATCCTTTAGAATTTTTAGGCTCATCAATAGTATCTAATTTTAGCTCATCATTTAGTTAAACCGGAGCTTATGGTGGAGGTACTTGTACAAATACTTGTGGAGGATTGATGACTAAAGATGATGGACTATTATCGGCATTTTTCTCAACTCCTTTACCCTTCTTATCTAAGAGATAAGCTTCTATGATCTCCCCTAATGATATTATGGACGCCTCTAGTGAATCCATCCTCTCATTCATGACTTTTTGTGAATCCGCTTATACTTTGGATAAAACCTTCACTTTAGCATTTAATTCGGCGTTGAAAACCATCTTGAAGGAATAAGTGACTTAAAAAATTATAGAAATTGTGAGGCCAAATTGTAATTTTAGAAAGCTTTAGGGCCAAATTATAATTATAGAAACTTTGGGGTAAAAAATATAATTTTAGAAAAATTCTGGGTGAAAGTGTAATTTCAGAAAATTTTGGGGTCAAAGTGCAATTTCTAAAACTTTTGGGGGGTGTAAGTGTAATTTTAAAAACTCTAGGGTCAGATTTGAAATTTTGGAAGGTTTGAGGGAGTTTGTATAATTTCAAAGATTGGATTACACGACAGAATTTTTGGCGGGGCCGGCAGGTGGGTTATTAGGCTTGGAACAAGGGGCTGAAATATAAGGATGTCAGACGAATCTTAGGAAACACAACGACAATCGAGAATGATCGAAGTTAGGTTTTGATACCAAATTGATGTTGGACGAGAAGGACCAAAAATCAGGGAATAGAAAGAAAGAGAAGAAGAAAGAAGAGGGGTGGAAGAGATTTACTTCCTCGCAAGAAATCGGTCAAGAAACACACAAATCTCCGCTAAGAATACTCAATTTTTAATCATAATCTCTCTAATAAAAATAGTGGGATTAGATCAATATTTATAGGATAAGTCTTCTACTAAAATAAAAACTACTCTTCTACTACAATACTAGAAGAGGTTTTATAATCAAACTCTTAAATTCCTATCCTACTAAAACTCTATAATAATTCCCTAATTAAACTCTAACCAATACTCCTAGTCAAACAAATATTTCCTAACTAATATAATAATAGGAAAACAAATAATAAAATTTAATTCTTTAATTTAAGCTCATCCAATCCCTTTTCGATCTCTATCACCTACTAACTGTGGTCTTATTAATGTGCTTTTGATATCATTGATCCCAAGCCCTATGCATTGCATAATAGTGAGGGGGTTGGTTTGTAAAGTGATTCTTTCTTAGAGTTAATTATATGAGAAGGTATTGCGTTTTTTTGAGATGCTCTGGCAATTTTTGTAAGGGAGTTTAGGTGGATAAATTGTATGACATAGTGGAGCCATGTATAAGGGGTGGGGGGCCATAGCCCAATCCCTCCCTACTTTTGGAAAACGATGCAAAAGCTATCTTGATTAGAATAAGGCAATCGCCATTGCCCCTAACCACCACTGTCGTGGCTGAAGTTGAGTTGAAATTAAATTGAAATTGGATGATTTGATGAACTTGAGCTGAAGTTGTTGGTTATTTGTTGAGACTGATATGAAATTGAACTGAAATTATTAGTTTCATGCTGAAACTGATGTGGAATTGAGCTTTAATTGTTGATTATCTGCTGTAATTGAGTTAAATTGAGTGATTTTGAGATCAAATTGAGCGGAATTGTTTATTATTTGAGTAAAGTGATTTAAATTGTCCTGTTCAATTATCTGTTGGAGGATAAGTGGATTGGATTGGATTGAATGCATTGTAAATTGGATAAAATTAAGATAGCAAAATCCGATCCATATCTTGTCTTTTGATAGGCCTAGCCAGGGGAGGTGACGTGAGAGGGGGTGCTAGCTTCACCCTCAGGATAGCATTTTGGCTCCGCATGGATTGTATATAGCTCTTTTTGGTTTTTATGGCTCTCTTTTCCCGAAATGGGTTATCCTTGATCTTGTTATGTGGTTTTTGTCTTTTGTTGTCTGTGCATACATCCTTTTGTATGCGGTTTGTCCCCCTTGGTGCTTTTTAATATTTTTTTGCCTTTTAAAAAAAGAGACTAGACAGATGGGTTCTTAAGATTTGTGTATACAACTGATGCCGAGCTGTTTCCTCTTCAGTATACTGTCATTTATAATTATGATTTTTAGTCTTCATTGATATTCATATCACAAGCTTTAAATGCTGAACAACTTTCTATGAGCCATACATCTGGCTTTCAAATGGGGATCTGCCACTTTTATTTCTCTCGAATTTACTGGTTTTATTAGGCTTCCTGCAAGTATTTGAAGGATCTCAGAGCTAGTCAAACTTGAGTGCTGCATAAAAAATTTTCCCTGCTGCTTTTGGCTTCATCAGTTTACTAAAACTTCACACTATTCACCTGGAGTATGTGTCTACCTTTTGCCATTTTGCTCTCCTCCTTCCTAGAACTTATAAGATCTGGTGTAGCGTGAAGGAAGAGTAGTGTTGAGCCTTGTGTTTTCAAGCATTCTTGGTCTAAGCAACAATCTTATCCAATTTCTTTTGATTTTTTTTTTAAGTTTTTGTAGTTGGGGGGGGTCTTAGATCCTTTTATTTTTTCTGTTCTATAAATTTCAGGAGGATATGGCTCAAGCTCTTGGTATCTGTCTCCGGCTTCTTGAGAACAACAGATCCTCTGATAGTGTGCGGAAGTAAGTCAAATTTGCTAGCAAAAGATATTGGATTGCTAGATCCTAGATGTCCCTACGCGAATGCACATCTACATTATCCCAATGTCCTTATCTTTGTTCTATTTCTGGTTGATTTTTAATTCTTGTTTTTTAACCATTATGACAAATCTTCCTTATCTCTTTTCATGTGAAACATCTCCAGTACTGCAGCAGCAACCTTCAGGCAAGCAGTGGCACTGATTTTCGATCACGTGGTTTGTGCTGAGTCATTACCTACTGGCAAGTTTGGTTCTGGAGGATACATTTCTAGGACGAATTCGGTCACTAACGACGTTACTCGCAATATTAATCGCTTAGAGTATGTAATTTTTTGGCACAACTGAAGTTTACTTTTCCTCCATCTGTGTATGTCCATTTAAACAGGTAGCTACATGCCTAGCATGTGTGTTTTTGTGTTTTGTTTTGGAGTTTTCATGATTCTTGAACTTACCCTTTTATGGAGTGCTGTTGAAGGTGTGGTTGTGCATTCAGGCAGTTCATATTTTTGTTTTATCTTCTTTCCCTGCATGTGTGCTGGTGGGTAATGTGCATCAGTTAGTAACAACGCACACTTGTGTACTGCGAAATTGGAATGTCAACAATTGAGTTCCATACTAACCATGCTTCAATAGGTCGTTGGAGCAAGAAGTTATCTCTGGAGGGCAGCCATTGATGAGGGAGACCCTAACTAAAAGTGGAAAGCTTGGGCTGCGCTTGCTTGAGGACCTGACAGCTCTTGCTGCAGGTGGATCTGTATGTGCTAGTCCGAAATTAGAAGCCTGTTTTTCTTTGATGGCTTTTGAATTCGAGTTTATTTGTGGCTGCTTTTAATGATTTTTTCCGTTTATTAATGCTTCCCATTGAAAGTGCATTATCCCCCTTGGTACTGATGAGTGATTGTTTTTTATCCTTCAGGCAATTTGGTTGCATGTCAGTTCTGTCCAACGGACGTTTGCACTTGATATACTTGAGTAAGGAATCTTTATTTGCTGCTGATACTGTTATCTTTCCTTAACTTGGATTCTGCTGAATGTTTTTCATATATTGCACCAATTCAATGACCTAAGAGCATCTCCAACAAGGTTTTGTATTTTAGCTATCCAAAAGAGCACTTTTTCTATTTTAGCTACTTACTTTTTCAAAACACACTCCAACAGATTTTCTATATTTTAACTACTACTTTTAAATATTATTTTTCATATCTTGTATATTTGTTGGGACTATTAAAGGGAGAGAGATAAAAAATGAGGGAAAAAAAAAGAGTGGACAAGAGAGGTGAGAAATGATAAGAAGAGAGAGAATATATTATATACAATTTATACATAATGCTACAGTGATATTCTAAATATAAAGCATCACTCTAGCAAAAATATATTTTATGAACATTTTCTGTTGTAGTATTTGTTTTCCCTTTAAATAGCTAAATTTTAGCTATTTTGGGGTTTTAGCCATTCTCTTGGAGATTTTCTAATGCATTTTTTCTCTTTGCCATATTGAGAAGTTCTTCCCAGTCAAATTGCTTTTGGATGTCGTGTATTTTTCCACATTGTTTTTTTTTTTGGAGAGGGGGTCGGATGGTGCACCATGGTCAGTGGGGTGACTTATATACTTTGTATGGCGGTGAACTGAGGGGTTTGTACTTATCGGTTTCTACTTCTCATACCGGGTTAAGAATTTTTTAGTGGTAATTGAGGCTTGCCTCAAGAGACTCATTTCGACTTTGAACATGCAAGTGATGATTCATGTCATTGTGTCGGCATGCAAAACCAATAAGTGATAATTGGATCAATTTTTGTTGTAATTACATCCTAATTCCTGTCAATTGACTGGCACAATTTTGGTGTTCCCCGTCATTATGCTAGCCCATCATATGAAACAAATAGAGGTTATGATCCCCCCCCCTCTTTCTCTCACACGCGCCAGCATGTATACATGTATCTCTCAGTCAGTTGTGCTTGCCTGCAAGTTGGATCTGGTTGGAAATTGCGCTGTCTTTGTCATTCCTTGTCTAAGAAGCATGGATACGAACACAGATACGACACTGACACGGGGATATGACAAAGTTCCAAAATATAGGATACGTATACAGCAAGGATATGACTAATTAAAATAATATTATATATTTTTATATAAATAAAAATATTAATAATACAACTTAATAAATATTGAACAATTGATTAATAATTTATAATTGGACAATGAACTAATATTAAATTAGATAGTGGGCTAATTACTTAATGTTCTAATTGGATGGGCTATTATGGATAGTGAGTTGATTATTTAATCTGTTTGAATGGAGATAGAGATAAAGGGAGTAGTGGTACAAAAAGGTGAGAGACAGAGGCGTGACTGAAAAATAAAAAAGGAAAGCCAATGTTTTAGACACACAAACCTAGATCACAGAGAGAGAGATCGCAGTGAAAGAGAGATCACATAACTAGATAACAGATCTAGATCGTAGAGTGGGGGGTCAGACGGAGAAGAAGAAAGAAAGAAGAAGAAGAAGAAGAGTTCTTTGACATACTTGGCTATTATAATTTCAGATCTGTGGTTGAAGAAGAGAGGTACTGTATCCGAATTTTTTTTTGATTTTCTGTTCACGACAATTGTGGAAGTATCAGACACATGTTTGGTCGGGTCTCACGTGTATTCATGTCAGACACATGTCTAGCCGTGTCCCGTCGACCCCGCCGGAGTATTCGTGCTTCCTGGTTCCTTGTATTCTCATGGATTGCTGGTGGAAAAGGCGGGATCTTATTCCATGATGGAATTATGTTGAGCCAATATCTATGGATTAATATATGATACGTGTGGTAGGGTCAATAGTTGGAGGATAAGGATATAAATATAGGGCTTCTGCAGCATTTGTTTAAGAAAAGCGAAAGGTAGCAATTATGAAGAATAATTTTGATGTGAATTTGGTTTGCTAATGTTCTCTTAAGATTGTCCTATTTACAAGGAGTAATTTTAGTTAAAGTTGAAGGCTTAGGGACACAAGAAGAAGGCCAAGAAGAATGTGGGTCTATATTGTAAGAGAAGAAGTCGCTGCCTATTGGTATAGGACTACTTATTGAGGCTTTAGAAATAAGACTCGTCCTACAGTTGATTTGTGATATTTTGAAATTTAGTGTTTTAACAGATCAAGGATCAAAATATTGTTTGGGTGCATTATTTCGATCACCTAAGAAATGAAAATATTTTGGAAACATAATGAAAATGGATAAAAATTTAGGGATTTATTTTCAAATCATTTCAAAGTATTGGTTTAAACATCTTGAAACATATCGAAATATTTCAAAATATTGGTGGAAACATCTCGAAAAAACTCAAAATATTCTAAAATACCTCAAAATATTGGAATTTTGATTCAATTAATGATTCGTTTCGGTTTCTTTAGAAATGGTAACATTTCTACTGTTTTGATCATTTCAACATGATATTTTGATCCTTGAAACAGATTCAACACTGGTTGTAGGTTGTGGAATTGAGAATTTTTTTTTTATATCTGCTTTTCCAAAGTGGGTAGGTCGTAGGAGTTCATTGTCAAATATTTTGAGATCTAGGTTGTCAAATTTAAAATTTGAGGCAGGGTTATGATTTATGGCAAACATGTGGTGCTGATGGTAGTGTTTTTGGTGCTGAAATAAGGGCTGTTGAGTGTTTGTAAATAGTGACTGAAAAATGGTAGGTGAAGAAAAGAAACAGGAGTAGTCGTCCCAATTATAATTCAGGAATCACCTCCGGACGTAAGGCTGCTTCACAGATCTTATAATGCTTTTAGAACTTCTCAGAAATTCTTCTAAGTCACTCTTCTTGATTTGAGTGAGTCTCAAGGGAAAGGTTAGCTCCCCTAATTCTACAAGACTAAGGCCCCAAAAGAAGGAAACTTGACTTCAGGCCACTCAGAAGTTTCTAGATCTATTAAAGACAAATATAAGGTCGGATAACGCTGCTTGATAAAAAATAGGACCCATGGATCTTAATTGTAGCCCTGTTTTGTCGAACTGAAATTGCTGAATATCCTCAACTACTAAAAATTAATAAAACAAACAAATATAGGCAGAAGCGTACTTTCAAAAGGCAAACATGAATCGATGTAAATTTGATAGTGTGTCCTAGGTGCATTGGTATGAATTTCTCACTTCAAAATATCGTTGTTGGATGCTTCTTCTCATTCTCTCCAGCATTTGAGAAGTTTTGTTTTGAGTTTTGAAAAAATCATTAATCTTTGAACTTGCATCTGTGGAATTAAAAACAATTAGAAGCCCATGAAGATCTTTCTTGTTCTGCATGCCTTTCCATTAGTCTCTTGAGTAAGTACATGCCTTTCCATTAGTATCCCTTTTCTCTTTTCTTTTCTTTTCCTTCTCTTTTCTTCTCTTTGATTGATCATTATTTACATGGTATTAGAGTGTGTTCCGATCCTAAACACAAATTTCACAACAGTGGTATTCATTAGAGTTGGGGCAGACATTTGGAATTAGGGCTGAAGTTTTGAGTTAGGGCTGACGTTAACAACCAGGAGCCACCTTCTTGGTCGATTCTTCATAGGTAACAACATGGTACAACTGGATTTTTAGTTTGAGGCCAGATTGTTGGGTTTTTCGAATTTTTGATTGTTTTTANATTTCACAACAGTGGTATTCATTAGAGTTGGGGCAGACATTTGGAATTAGGGCTGAATTTTAGAGTTAGGGCTGACGTTAACAACCAGGAGCCCCCTTCTTGTTCGATTCTTCATAGGTAACAACACGGTACAACTGGATTTTTAGTTTGAGGCCAGATTGTTGGGTTTTTCGAATTTTTGATTGTTTTTAGGATTTTTTTGTGTGATTTTTGAGATCTGAAATTTGGCTTGGATTTGGTTGATTTTTCTGGCTCAAAACCCTTTCACAAGGTTCGAATGAGGTGCGAATTGTGCTATGATATTTACCACAGTTGAGATAGTTTGGTTACGNCTTGGATTTGGTTGATTTTTCTGGCTCAAAACCCTTTCACAAGGTTCGAATGAGGTGGGAATTGTGCTATGATATTTACCACAGTTGAGATAGTTTGGTTACGATGGCTACTTGTTGATCCAGACATTTCATTAGCTGCTTCTACTCCTATGTATTGTGATAACACCAGTGCTATTTAGAATGCTCACAACTTAGTCTTCCATGAGTGTACAAAATATATTAAGATTGATTGTCACTTTGTACGTCATCATCTTCAGCTGGGCACCATTACCCTACCCTGTCTTCCTTCTCCTATGCAGTTTGCGAATTTCTTTACGAAATCTCACATCACACGCTTTGGTTTTCTTATTGGCAAATTCTTGATATTTTTTGCCACATCACGAGTTTGATAGAGGTTGTTAGAGTATTATAGTATATTTAGATTAAGGGCAGTTTAGTGATTTATTTTATTTTGTTTTGCCCTACTGTAAAAGGGTCTTTATTATGTAGCTTTGGTTTTTGCATACTAATAGTATAATAATACAATTTCTCTATTTTCTTTCCTCTTCTTGAATCAAACTTTACACTCATTGCCCTAGTCTATTGGTCCTCTTTAGTTCGACTCTGTTCTCGATTTGGTGGTCTACTGTTCATTTTTCTTGATCTTTAAGATACTAGGCATAATTTTGTTTGTGAGCTTTGATCTTGTATTTGGTTTATTGTGATCTGGTCATGGCGAGTGGGAGTTTAGATTCCCTTAGTGTAAAATTAACTGGTGGAAATTATTCCTATTGGGCTATATGTCATGAATTTTTTTGCTCGGTAAAGAAATGTGGAGCTATGTTAATGGTGTTGCGACAACTCCTACACTCTAAGGCAGAAACGTATGCTAATTTGAAAAACTTGTAGGACATTAATAATGCCAAGATCATTACCTGGATTAACAACTCAGTTGATTGGATTATTGGTATTCATTTGACTAAGTTTACTACAACCAAAGAAATTTAGAACTATTTAGCCTTTTTGTTTATTTAGTCCAATTTGCAAAAAGNTGACTAAGTTTACTACAACCAAAGAAATTTAGAACTATTTAGCCTTTTTGTTTATTTAGTCCAATTTGCAAAAAGGTATCAACTTGAACATGAAATTAAAGCTACACATCAAGGTAATCGGAATATATAGGAGTTCTACTTAGTTATGATCAAATATTGGGATCAGTTGACACTTATTAAACCCGTTGAACTGACCACTAATACGGCATACTGCACTTTAAGAGAGGAGTAGCGATTGGTACAATTCTTGATGGCACTTAGAGATGATTTTGAAGTGCTTCGTGGTTCTATTCTTCATCCTCATCCACTACCATCAGTTGATGTAGTAGTTAATGAACTTTTGGCTAAAGAGGTCCGTCTTAAGACTCTTTTTGTTAAGGGTAAATTGCACCAATGGTCCCTGAGGTTTAACGGTTATTGTACTTTGGTCCTCAAAGTTTCAATTTCGTCAATTTAATCCTTAAAGTTCAAATTTTAAGGATTGATGGGCATTTTTGTCATTGGGCTTTTAAAAACATGGGGTACAAATGGAAAAGCACAAGCATTCCTTCTCCCTTACCCCTTCACCCTCGAACACCGTTGGCAACCCCAAGAAAACTCTGGCAATCCCAATACTGACAACCACATACCCTCCCCCTCCCCTCGATATCCCTGAGCATTGGCAGCCATTCAGAGTTATCAACGATTACCCCATCTCTGTGTGTGTGCAAGACCTAAATCAACCTATGTACGACCCAGACCATCAACCCATCTATGACCCAGATCTAAATCAACACTCACAAAACTCTAAATTAACACATGCCTTAATTCATTCTAAACCCTAGATTACATACAATTGTAGCCTCCAAGTAACCTTGGAGCTTTTCATTGATACAAAATCCTTAATGTTGGGACTGTCATCAAGCTTCTCACAAAGCAATCCATGGTGGGTAGCCTTGGTAATCTCTACGAGAGCATCGAAAATTTGAACGAAATCTATATGGAACTCAAGTAGGACAAGAACTCTCTCTTAAACCCCAAAATTTTCTATACTGAAGCTCCAATTTTGTTGCTTGATGATACACCAGTGACCAAGAAAAAGCTCCACAAGTGCTCGAAGGAGGCGGTGGCTGGAGAACTGGAAGGGTTTGTCAAAGGTTTGGTCACGTATATGGTGGTCGATGGCTTGGTGGTTCAACTTATGTCTACCATCTCTTGCATTAATGTGCTTAACAAGTTCAATGTGAAAGAAGTGGGTGCTCTTGTTGATTTGGGTATGGATAAGGTATGTGTTTTGATCCTATACATATATTTTACTCTGGATCGTAGATTGGAGGAAATATCGGAGTGGAAAGAGACAGAGCTTATTAGAGACAGTCTTTCCCATGTGACTGAGAGATAAAAAAGAAAAGAGAGAGGAAGGAGAAGATGTGTGTTTGGTACCATGTTTATTATAATCTAGATGAGAGATAATGGTGTTTGGATGTAGGGATTGTTACAAAATACCAAAAATGTCCATCAATACTCTCATGTGCCAAGCACATGACATTTTCCGTCACTTTTTTTAACGGCAGTTAGTGACAAGGACCAGGTTAGTGAAATGTTTGAACTTTGAGGATTAAATAGACGAAATTAAAACTGAGGACTAAAATACGATAAACATTAAACCTCAGGGACTATTGGTGCAATTTACTCTTTTGTTAATGAAATTTTGGCTAAAGAGGTCCATCTTAAGACTCTTTCTAGAAAGGGTATTCTCTCATTACCTAATTAGATTTTGCTGGCTGTACCCCAAAAGGTGCATTCTAATTCACAAAGTATTGAGGTTGGGTTGCAGTAGATGAGTGTAACTTTTGTCGTGAGATGGGCCACTGGAAGGTTCAGTTCCTATCGAGTTGTTTCTTATCATAGAAAAAAAAAGATTACTTTTTAAGAAAATCACAGTGAAGTTCTCTTAGTGCTGAAGTCTTGTTTGTATCCTTTTATGTAGGGTGTCTTGCTGCCCTTACCTTGGTGGCTCTGATCTGTAGGCTTCAATTTTTGCAAGGATCTTAATTATGAACATGATGGTGCGGTGCCAAGAGAGTTGTGGTTAAGGCTTCTGTATACCAGAAACTCTTTCGAATGTAACATATTTCTAATGACCATACATTAAAGGAACCAATGCTCAAGTTAAACTATAGTAGGTAACTGTTAACTCTGTACTTAGAAAGGTTCTTTGATGTGTATTAGTTTTTTTCCCCCTTATTTTGCAAGTTTTTGGGTGGGGTATCTCTTCCGCCTTAAGTTGGACTGTGTAAGACTTTATTATATCTATGGATAAAATTTTGTTTCTTATAAAAAAATTGTGGCCCTGTCTTCTCCTTGATTTGTCATTGAATGTTAGTTAGAAAGGCTTGACCAGCAAATTTTCTTTTATATTAGTTTCCAATGTGGCAACAAATCTCATTAATTTCTCTCCCTTCCATTATTGGCCTATCAGTCTCCAAGCACTCAAATTCTGTAAGGGAGGGAACCTCAGAGTTTTAGGGTTGGAAGAATAGTGCTAACATCTTAAGCGTCAGATCATTTTCCTTCATAAGCTGTGTTTAACCTTGACAATGATTGAGTGACAAAATACAGTTAAGAGTTGGCGATAAGCAGGGTTATATTGGTATCATCCGAGTATTGTGTCATGACATCTCTGCTCAAGACATTTAACCTGCCATTGGCGGCAGCTTCCTCTCTGGACCAAGCTTGAATTCTTTTTCTTTTTCATACACCATGATTTTTATGGTAATGGTATAAACTAAATTAGTAAGAGAAGTCCTTCTAATAATCCAATAACGAATTTACTGGCTTTTGGGATCCATAAATACTTCAATTTAATCGTTTCCTTGTTGCATTTTTTAGGTTCATTCTGTCCAACTATGTGGTTGTGTTTAGAACCTTGCTTCCTTATGAACAGGTGATCATAATCCTGACCTGACAACACTCTTTTTAGCTAGTATCTTTCAGTAATTTACATTACTTAAATGTTGTTGATAAATTTAACAGGTCTTGCGTCACCAGTTATGTTCTCTTTTCATGACTTCCCTGCGTACCAATGCCGAGGTGATTTCTGTAGTGGAAAATTGTAGTCTAATGATTTACTTTTTGTCCATTAATATATCTGTCTCATGTTCTATCTTTAGACGAATCTAGTTTCCATGTGCTATCTTCAGGAGAACATTAATGTGGGCATTGCTTTCTATTTTTATTCTTGAATATGTCAAATCAGTTTGAAGGAGAAACAGCAGAGCCTTATTTCCGGCGTTTGGTATTACGGTCAGTTGCCCATATTATCAGGCTTTACAGCTCTTCCCTCGTCATGGAATCTGAGGTATGTTTTTTTTTGAAATACGGATACAAAAAGGGAACATGGCATGGACACGCACCACGTCATTCCTCAGAAAATAGTACATGGATAGATATAATTATATTAGCGTGCAATATAAGAAAATCCTTATTTTGTAAGCAGTAATCTTTTGTGTAGTCCTCTTGTATGAATTGTTAAGACTAATGGATCATAGTAGTCAATAATCAACTCTCTTTTAGATGAAGTGTAGCAACCATGCATAATTATAATCATTTCTCACATATTTGGGAGTCTTCTTTAGCATAATTTGTTTGCGTCTTTTACTTTTACTAGTGAATTTAGGTAAAACTTCAACATAATTAGTCTGGACAATTGTGTATTCTTTTAGAGTATAGAATAGTCTTTTGTCAAGTTTTAATCACATGCTTATTTTTTAGCAGTAAACATGACCTAAAGAAGTGCCGAGCACAGTACCAAAATTAATATATTACCTTTTAACTATGGACACGACTGGAAGTGTATCGAATACGTGTTCGAGAGACTGAGTAAAAGGAGGCACTAAGAAGTGAAGGATCCTTAAGGGTGCAGAATCCATCTATAATGGTCTCCCATACTTCTAGGAGCAAGTTTACCTACTATGCTACCGGAGTGAATATGATCTCCACCAGACATATGTAACGCTTTACCTAGTACACGAAAGTGTATCCCACGATTCTTCGGTCTATCAATAACTACATGCATTGCGCAGTGGATGTGAAGAGGTAGTTCATTATCTCGGCAATAATGAGATAAGTTAGTATTTGTAGTAAATCCCATTGCTAAGTAGTCATGCATTACTGAACGCAAATACATCCCTTTTTATCATTTCTTCACATATACTTGCGGTAGCATTCAAGCAATGCCTATTGATTTCACCAGTTTCAGTCTGTGCTTTATAAATTGCTTCGGCATAAAATAAGAAACGATTTCTCCAACCCATAAATTGTTGGGAGTTCACATTCTCATCATCTTTGGTAAAATCAAGTCCACTGCGTATACATTCATAATCTGCAACTTTATTTAATAACATTTTATTACATCAAAGTCCCTATCTCCCTAAAAATTCTATTGAATGCATCTTAAAGTGGATTAATTTTTTCAATAAAGAAGGTTCCTTTAAATAATTGGAAGTGTTTGAAAAATAGTCAAGATGGCTATTGCATCATGCTAATAAGGATACTTGAATCTTAAATTTCATTAAAATGTCACAATTATTTTAAGCTGTGTCATTACATGCCTACATGGATCATTGATGTCAATTGATTGGGAAAATCATTGTCTTAGACTTTCTAGTTGTTTTTCTAAGGGTTTTTGCTGGATCATGTTTGTCTTATTGATTGTTGAAGATTTGCATTATGAGAGGATTTGCTTCTAATTCTAAACCACATGCCTTCCAAGGAAGGCTTTTTAGATTAGGTGACTGCATGGATAAGTGATGTAGGACGGGAAGGACTAGAAACTACAGAATAGAAAGAGAAAAAGAAAGAAGAGGGGGTGGAAGCGATTTACCTCATCCTCACAAGGAATCAGTGAAGAAATACACAAATTTTCTATGGAGAATCACTTTTTATTATATCACTCTCGCTAATAAAAATAGTTGGGATTACACCATTATTTATAGGTCAAGTTCTCTATCAAAATGAAAACTATTCTTCTGCTAAAATTTTAAAAGAGTTTCATAATCAAACTCTCAAATACCTATCGTATTAAAATTCTATAATAATTTCTTAGTCAAACTATAATTAATACTCCTAGTCAAACAAATATTTTCTAAATAATAAAATAATACTAAAACAAATAATAAAATTCCATTCTTAAATTTAAGCTCATCCAATCCCTTCTCGATTTCGATCAATTCTCCTCGGCTGAAAAATACTTTTTTTCGAAGAGTTGGAAGGCCACAAGGACTCCAAAAACTTTAAAGAAACTTGTGTTCCAAGAAAATAGCATTTTAGATCTTCATAGTAGAAAACAATCCCTTCATACATTACATCCATCACAGTCTTATCCACATGCACTATTATAGGTGAAGGAAGCATGTAAACCAGTGGAGACAAAATACCAACTTCATCTACAGTGGCACTCTTTGAAACTCCTTTACTTCTTCTGTAAGAAGAGAAGATCCTTTGAGATCAGGTTATCAAAAACAATTGATGTATGATGAGGAAAATTTTTAGGCTCATCAATGGTATTTAATTTCAGCTCATCATTCAATTGAACAGGAGCTCGTGGTGAAGGGGCTTATATAAGTACTAGTGGAGGATTAAGGATTGAAGATGATAGACTATTATCGGCATTTTACTCAACTCTTTTACCCTTCTTTGTCTAAGAGATAAGCTTCCATGATCTCCTTTAGTGATCTTATGGATTCCTCTAGTGAATCCATTCTCTCATTCATGGCCTTTTGTGAATCAACTTGTGCTTAGGATAAAGTCTCCACTTTAGCATTTAATTCAGCGTTGGAAACCATATTGATTGAAAGAGAATTTTAAGAACTTCACTTTTTTTTTTGAAAAGAGGTCAATTTGTTATTTCAGAAAATTTTGGGGTCAATGAAATTTCAGAAACTCTCGGGGTAAAATCTATAATTTCAAGAAGGTTTGGGGTTGTTTGTGTAATTTTGGAGATGAGGTGGTTTGCGGTGTGGTTAGGTCAGATGGGTTGGTTATGATATTTGGGCTTTTTTTTTTTTTTTTTTTTGAAGGCTTTTGGGTTGGGCAGCATTTGGTCTTGGCTTGGGTCATTGTTGTGAGCTATATATATATATATATATATTTTTTTTTTTTTCCTTTTTTGGGCTGGACAGTATTTGGTTTTTTGGTACTGGTTCAAAGATGAGGGTTTTTTTTTCCCAAAATTCAGCCACAACAAAGGGAGCCAAAAGTGAGATGAGGAATAGTAATGACAATGACAACCAACCTGATTGACGACGATGCAAACGACTGACGTGCTACAACGACGAAGAATTTGGTGTGAACAAAAATTATAATTGTTGTGCTGTTTTTCCAGCGTTGGTGAATAGTAACTTGGCAAGAAACTAATAGATTGAAGTTTCGCTCTGACACCAATCTAATATAGGACGAGAAGGATTAGAAATCATAAAATAGAAAGAGAAGACGAAAGAAGAGGGAGTGGAAGGGTTTACCTCATCCTCGCAAGGAATCGGTGAAGAAAAACACAAATTCTCCTTGGAGAATCACTTTTTATTATATCACTCTCTCTAATAAAAATAGTTGGGATTATACCATTATTTATAGGCCAAGTTTCCTACTAAAAATAAAAACTATTCTCCTACTAAAATTTTAAATGAGTTTCATAATCAAATTCTCAAATCTCTATCTTACTAAAATCTTATAATAATTTCCTAGTCAAACTATAATTAATACTCCTGGTCAAACAAATAATAGAATTTAAATTTTAAGTTTAAGCTTATCCAATTTCTTTTCGATCTCTATCAATGAGTTATTTTAAAATTGGATTGTGCTTTGAGGTTTGCTTTTGTGACGATGATCATGTTGAATTAATGTAAAGAGAAAAGGGAAGAAAGAGAAAAGGAAAGACGTAGAGAAGAAATAAATACGGCTGAAAAAGAGAACAGGGGGTTCTCTCCTTCTGTCACTTATATTTATAAGTTAAATATCAAAAGGGCAAAATACACCTTATACTATAAAAAATAAGAGGCTAAATAGTTTCTAGCGCCCCCCCTCGAGTTAGTGAAAAGATATCACACATGCCCCGCTTGCCAATGATTGAATGGAACACTTTACTAGATAATCCCTTTATTAAGATATCTGCAAGCTGATCTTATGTCTTCACAAATGGAGTACAAATTAAGCCAGTACTCAATTTTTCCTTACTGAAATGTTTGTTGACCTCAATATGCACGGTTATGTCATGCAAAACTGGATTATAATCAGTACTAATTGTTGCTTTATTGTGACAATACAATCTCATCGGTTCCTTAGAATAAAACCAAGTTCTCTAATATGGATTTCAGTCGCAACAATTAACAAATACCATGAATTATAGCTCTAAATTCTACCTCAGCTCTAGATCTTTCCACAACCGACTATTTTTTGCTACGCCATGATGCCAAATTTTCCACTACAAAGGTACAATATCTAGATGTTGATCTTCGGTCTGTAACAAAAAAAATATCTCTTTAATAGGTGCTAGTTTAAGGTACCTTAAAATTCAATGAACAGCCCCCATATGAGACTCACGGGGTGAGTGCATAAACTGACTCACCACACTGATCTCTACTTAGGCTATATTTGGACGAGTATGAGACAGATAAATGAGCTTCCCTTCCGGTCTTTAATATCAACCTTTGTTCTATCGTTGTGTTTGGTACATGGTATTAAACCTTAGGAATGGAATGGTCATTCCTTAGTAATACCCATTCCTTTGTTTGGTTTGGGAGAATAAAATTTCATTCCCATTCCTAAGGGATAACTAATCCCATAAATAATGGGATTAGCCATTCCTAAATAAACTACGGTATTAGTCATTCCTTTACCATCGGTAATCGGCCTAATTAGGTCGACGAAAACCCGATCGAGGCCTATTCCTCTCTGTCTCTCGCTCCTCTCATCACTCATCGTTCAACCCCCATCCTTCTTCTTTCTTCTTATCTTCTCTCTTCTCCTCCCTTCTCTTCACTTCACCTCTGTGACTTTTCCTTCATCAGCGGGAAGCATGACAGTCCATCCCTCCCCAACCATTGTCAGCTTCTTCCTCATCTCTTTGTGATGGAAGGGACAAGATTGGTGAGCAGACCAGATTTGGCATTGCTTCTAATCTCAGGCAACTCTTCACTTGGCCCATGGGATTTATCATTTTATAGTTTAGTTGGTGACTTTGTCAAACCCATCATCTCTTCCTCACCTTTCAGGCCCCCACTTCAACCCGTGGCCCGTAATCTCTCTCTCTCTCGCTCTCGTATTATTTTCTTCTTTATGTTTCTGTTTTCAATTTTTGAAAAAAAATTCTTGTTGGGTAATGTTTGTTTGACTTAAGACTTTCATTTCTGCATTAGGGGGATGTTGGTGTGTGAGTTTATGCTTTTTGGGAATGTGAATTCATTGAATAATGTAAGAAACCCTAGAAATTTTGGGCAGTAGAGAGGAAAGGAACATGTTAAAAGGACCTGTTGGGGACTACTTTAAAATGAAAATTCTTAATTTAAGAGAAACTTTTCACCTTGTCTCGTTGGAATTGCATCTGTAACTACTGTTTGATAGAGAATACCCAAACTTCTATTGTTCCCTTGTTTTCAGTCTTCGAAATGTAAAGGAGAGCATTTTTTATGAATTTATAAAGCCCATAAATTACATATGTCGAGTGAAGTGCAGAAAAATTCAAAATAAGTACTTCTTGCCCCACCTCCCAACAAAAATAAGATTGATTGGTATTCTGATTAGATGCTAAAAGTTTGGGTAGCATGGATGAAAGTTTATCTTTTAATTGCAAAGGCTGTAGCTGTTAATGTAAGAAGCGTACATGTGAAAGTCAGCCAAACCAAAATAACACTCTGGTTAATTTCACTTTGCACCTGCGGTATTGACATGATGATAAATGCTCGTGGTCCGAGGATTTGTGGGGGAGGTCTCCACGAATATGAATTTCTAGAATGCCTTTACAGATGATTTGAAGTGAGAATTCATCTCTTGGGAGTATAGCACAACAAATCCAATATATATGTAAGCCCATGTAAAAAGTTGTGCCTATGGCTATGGGTAGCGAGCTCATTCATTGTCAATTAAGTCCTTTTCTTTTATTTCTTGTCTCAATTTGGGATCAAACTCTTACATGAATCTGAACAGGGTTCATATAGGAAAAGAGCATACTTCGTATTTTGACAGTTGTCACTGGTCATTTTTCTCTAGAGTACAAGTGCAGTCCAAGTAGAGTTGCAAACTAGAATTGTACATGCAGATTGAGCTTTGTGTTTAGTTATTGAATTATGTTCCTTCCTAAACAAATGGTCATCATAATATTTTTTTTTTCTTATCTGTGTTTCTTGTTATAGATTTTTTGGTAAAAATCATTTTCCTTTCTTCTAGTGGTGTGTAAGATATATAGAGACATCAAATTTCTGTCAGACCTCCTAACACTCTTTTGATTCTATCTTGTGCCATTCTTGTGAACCAAAATGGGATATTTTCATTTTGCATGCCATTATTGTACAATTTCACTCTATGTGGTAGCTTTACTTATGCTTTGGGAGTCTGAGTAGTTGACTCCACCACAAGCAAGGTAAATGCCCCTTTCTACATCTGGAAAGGTGCAAACCCCGCCACTCATTAGCTTGTAAATTCCTGAAAATTTCCAATCCTCGAGTGTGAGCTCAGTTTAGAGCATGTTTCAGAATCTGGCATCTGAAGCATGTCCAGCTCAATTATGATTTACAGCAATTACCAACAGTCTGGCAATT